CCACGAGTTCTTGTATTGTGAGAAAGGGAGGCAAGTACCAGTTTCTTGACCTTCTCTATCCGCTGCATAATTTTGTAAAACTCTTTGTCGTGTCACCCCTCAGTCCTCGTTTCTCCTAGCTAAAGAGCCCTAAGCGCTTTAACCTTTCCTCATAGGGGAGGCGTTCCATCCCCTCAGTCGTTTTAGTGGCCCCGTTCTGTACCTTTTCCAGTGCTGCGATATCTTTTTGGAGGTGAACAAAACTGTGTACGCAGTATCCCAAATGAGGCCGCACCATCGATTTATACAAAGGCATTATGATACTGGCTGATTTGTTCTCAATCCCCTTCCTAATAATCCGAATAATCCCCAGCATAGCATTTGCCTTTTCGCACACTTCAGTGAGTTCTCTACCTCAACTCTGACTCCAGGATCTCTCTCCTGGTCAGCTACTGCCAGTACTTGGGTGAGGTTTGGGGAGGAGAGGGAATCTGTGAGGTATCATATCCTAGAGCAGGGGTACTCAACGTAGTGTCCATGGGCACATGGGCACCTGCCGACACCTTTCCTGGTCTTTAAAAAGTTTGGGGGACCAGGCGGGGCTTTGCCCAGCAAGGCTTCTGATTGGCCATGTAGATTTTTAACAATGTTGTTATGGGGAATTTTTTTTTAATTGCATTTTTAAATTAAAACTACAAACTATATATATATAAAAAATGTTGGTTTGGCAGCAGCTACCACCACAACACAAAGATCTTCACTGTGTGTTTGGAGGTAAGCAGCAGCAGCCATTTTGTGGCTGGCCACACCTCCTGCTGCAGCCATTTTTGGCAACCATTTTGGCTGAGCCCATTTTGAGACGCATTTTGGCTGAGCCCATTTTGAGGCGCCCATTTTGAGACGCATTTTGGCTGAGCCCATTTTGAGGCACCCATTTTGAGATGCATTTTGGCTGCGCCCATTTTGAGATGCTCATTTTGAAACACATTTTGGCTGCACCCATTTTGAGACGCCCATTTTGAGACACATTTTGGCTGCGCCCATTTTGAGACGCCCATCTTGAGACACATTTTGGCTGAGCCCATTTTGAGACGCCCATTTTGAGACACATTTTAGCTGCGCCCATTTTGAGACGCATTTTGGCTGTGCCCATTTTGAGACGCATTTTGAGACGCATTTTGGCTGCACCCATTTTGAGACGCGTGGGTCGCACTTTCTCCCAGGAACCTGATCTCTCTAATCTCAGTGGGACACAATGGCATAGAATCCAACTTCCAAGGCATCCATTTCCTCCAGGGGGGACTGATCTCTGTAGCCTGGAGATGAGCTGTAATTCCAGGGGATCCCCAGGTCCCACCTGGAGGCTGGCACCCCTAGCTCGATCCCACCCGTCCAGACTTTGAGCGCCACTAGGACCTTTTCAAAAATTAGTTCCCAAAGAGAACTCGGTGGCAGGCTAGAACCTCTGATCTCTTACATCTAGCATGAAGGGTCCGTTCCAGTCCCTGATACTGGGACTCATACCTGAATGATTTATGACAGGTCTCTCTCTGGCACAGCCATTCCTCTCCCTCCTCCCTCGGTGATTTGGGTTAGAGAGGCTTCTGCAAAATGTCCGTTTCATGCACGGTGAAGAAGTGAGGCCTGACCCACAGAAGCTTACAGCAAAATAAACTTGGTTAGTCTCAGAGGTCCCTCCTCAGTCCTGTTTTCCTCCGAGGCATTCTTGATTTGCTGCAGCTTTCACGGCCTTCTGCTTATCTGCATCCAGGGGTCATTTCCTGCGGGAGCGCACAGGAGCGGAGCTCCGGCAGTAAGGAGCCCAGGGGGTAGGCACATGCAACAAGCCCTGCCCCCTGCTCCCAGCAGCCCTCAGTCAGGCCACAAGGAGCAAGAAGCAGCCAGGTAAGTTGCAGAGCCCCCCCATCCCACCTTCAGGTACAAGCTCTCCCTCCTCTGTGAGGACAGATCTGCACGTTCCCCCTGTTATGTCTGCTGACCGCCACCAGGGGCCAGCGAATACCCCAGAGCTTGACTATGGAAAAACAATGGGAACCAGGCTCCTAGGCTCTCCACTGGGGAACCAATAGGACCGTGGCGGGAGATTTAAACCCACCAACGGGACCTAGGGGGGGCGTCCCCAGGTGTGTATATGGTTGTCCTTCCTTTAAAAAAAAAATAAAATTTTTTTTATTAGTCAATAGTACATGTCTGCATCCTTCCTGCGCACAACTCTGTTGGCAATTTTGCAATCAGTACAATGGGTCTAAGTCCTACACATGCATTTCAAAAGGACGAATCCTGTTGCTTCACTTTAAAAAGGACCTAAAGACCCTGAACTAAGTCCTTTGGGGGGGGGGGGGGGTTGGGTATTACAAGTTGAAAACACTCAGTATGTCTGGGGTTAAATGTTTGTTCATGTTACTCACAGGAAGTCACATGTTTCTCATGTAACCAATGTTCTTTAGATGTAGAAAGCCCGGGAATTTTCTCCTTCCCGTCTTTGTTTTGGTGTTCTGAAGAAGAAGAGTAGCCATAATCCCTCTCTTCTAGTTTTGTCTTTGTAGAGTAAAGATGTAGCCGATTATGCTCTGTTGTTATTTTCGTCCCAGTTACCCTTCCCCATGCTAGAATTTAGTAAAAACTTTATAATCACACATGGACTCTCAGTCTGAATTATTTTACTCTGGCTCTGCTGGACTATCTTATCTCTGTTAAATACCATTTTTTCAATATCTCAGTATCACCCAACAGGGAGGAAGTAAAATCTTGACCTCATTTGACTATTAAAGTGGATTTGCTTGCTGCTTGTTCAAATCGAGTGCCATGTTCAGAACTGGTGGAGATTTTGCGATAGTTCACATTGCTATTCTAGTTGGGGGGGGGAGGTGGCATGGTTATTAGCCTGATCTTGGAAGCTAAGCAGGGTTGGTACCAATGTTCCCTCTATGCCGTGGAGTCTTGTGAGCAAAAATTCTACCTTGTGAGCTACTGGCTTTCAAGTGGTGAGCGAGCGATTTGGCTCCCGCATAAATTAGCCTGCGCTCGCAAAATATTGGAAATTACTGGAGGCTGCGGAATTGGATAAATTGACTTTATTGATAAAAGGCGCAACAGATTTGACATTCCAGAATACTTGGTCACGGTTTTACAATTGGTATGATAAATATATGTAGGCAAGCTTGCAAGAGGCAGGCTAGGAGTTTACTAAATGAAATATATACCTGTTAGGATGATAGACACAGAAAAGATGCTTACACAGTTCATGAGAAATTGTCATTAAGGTGGCACCAGTATAAATATTGGTAAAAACTGAAAATAACCTCCATGTATCTGTTTGTACTGTTTGTATGTATGTATATGTATGTATTTGTTATGATTGTTTGTGTATGCTATGTGGAAAATGTAATAAAACCCTGCCCCTTTGGGGGCAGTTAAAAAAAAATTAGCCTGCTCTGGAGCCCTCCTTCCTGAGGGAAGACAGAAATGTGTGAGCTGGAGGCTAAAGAACTGTGAACTAGCTCACACTAACTCAGCTTAGAGGGAACACTGGTCGGTACTTGGGTGGGAGACCATCAAAGAAGACTCTGCAAACTGCCTCTGCTTCTCACTTGCCTTGAAAGCCCCTTGTCGAGTGGCCAGAAGCTCATTGCGATTTGACGGGAATGACGTACATATTATAGTCCGGGGAGGAGGGAGGTGTAGACTTTCCAATTTCCCGGGGGGGGCTGGGGCTGGGCCAGAGGCATTGCTGTGCTAGGAGCAAGGGTGGCTCCCGGGGGAGGCTGAGCACCTTCATGAAAATTTCGGCGGGGGCTGAAGCCCCGCCACCCCCACGAAGATTACGCCTATGATACATAAAATATATATCTTGAGGAAATACTGCTTTACAAGTGGAGTGATTAAAATGTGGAATTCGCTGCAGAGGATGTAGTGATGGCCACAGGAATAGACAGTTTTAAAGGGGATTAGATAGATCCATGGAGGAAAGGTTGATCAGCGGCTACTAGCCATGGTGGCTGAGGGGAACCTCCTCATTCAGAGGCACTAAGCCTCTGAATCCCAGAGCCAGAAGGCAACATCAGCGGAAGGCCTCAGCCTCTAATGCCCTGTTGTTGGCTCTCCAGAGGAACCGGTTGGCCACTGCGTGAGACAGGATGCTGGACTAGAGGGACCACTGGTCTGATCCAGCAGGGCTCTTCTTATGTTCTTATCAGGGAAGGCCTCGGCCTCTGTGCCCTGTTGTTGGACCTCCAGAGGAACTGGTTGGCCACTGCGTGAGACAGGATGATGGACTAGATGGACCCTCACTGGTCTGACCCAGCAGGGCTCTTCTGATGTTCTTATCAGGGGAAGGCCTCTGCCCCTCTGCCCTGTTGTTGGCCCTTCCAGAGGAACTGATCGGCCACTGTGTGAGACAAGATGCTGGACTAGATGGACCACTGGTCTGATCCAGCAGGGCTCTTCTTATGTTCTTATCAGGGAAGGCCTTGGCTCTAATGCCCTGTTGTTGGCCATCCAGAGGAACTGGTTGGCCACTGTGTGAGACAGGATGCTGGACTAGAGGGACCACTGGTCTGATCCAGCAGGGCTCTTCTTATGTTCTTATCAGGGAAGGCCTTGGCCTCTATGCCCTGTTGTTGGCCATCCAGAGGAACTGGCTGGCCACTGTGTGAGACAGGATGCTGGACTAGATGGACCACTGGTCTGATCCAGCAGGGCTCTTCTTATCTTATTATCAGGGAAGGCCTCAGCCTCTGTCTTATGTCTTTACCTATATTAAAAGCCATGTTAAGCTTGAAACCATGTCAAGGATTGAAAGCTGCAACAATTCTATTGGTTGCTGTATATAATCATCCAATCAGGATGCCGAGCAATGTTCAGGAGGGAATGAATATGATTGGTTGTTATCTCTGTAATGTAATTGGACCTTAACTGTTCTAGGGCGTGGCTACTCCAGCCCGGGATAGTTTAAAAGGGAGCTTTGCTCCTCTGATTGGGTGTGTGTGTTCTTCACTGTTACTGTTTACATCAATAAAGCTGATTCACTGTTTTGATTACGACACGGCGTTGAGTTCCATACTTAACACTCTGTGCCATGTTTTTACCCCTCTATAGGTACCGGTTGGCCACTGTGTGAGACAGGATGCTGGACCGGATGGACCACTGGCCCGATCCCGCTGGGCTCTCCTGATGTTCTTACAATTCAACAGGAGCCAAACTCGTCAGGGGTGAGAGATGTTACCACCTGCCCTTCGAGGTTCTTTGGGCTGGCGCAGGTGGTTTCTTGCTCATCCCACAGAGAGATAGAATATTGATTCAGCCAGGCCACCAGGGTGTTCATGTGGCATTCGCATGCCCAGGGGTTGTTTGATAGGTCGAGACTGAGTTTCGTCGCCTGCCTTGAAAACTTAGGCACGAGCGAGGTCAGCTTGTTGTAGGAGACATCCAGCAGTGCCAGTTGGTTCAACGGCTCGAAGATCCCAGCTGGGAGACTGGCCAAGGTGGTGTTTCGGAGGAAGAGAAGCTTCAGGCTTGGAGCACCTTGGAAGGTCCCATCTACGATGGACCAGAGCTGGTTACCTTCTAGGTTCAGCTTCCCTAGACTGGGTAGTCCTTCTAGAATCTGGGGAGTCAAAGTGTGGAGAAAGTTGAAGGAGAGGTCAAGATCGGTCAGGTTCTCCAGCTTGCTGAAGCAGTAGGGGGGCACGTCGGTGAACCGGTTGTGGGAGAGGTCCAGCATGTGGAGCTGATGCAAGGGGTGGAACCAAGATAGCCGCAGGGTGGCCAGCTGGTTCCCTTGGAGACTCAGCTGCGTCAAGGCACTGACGTTCCTGAAGATCCCGGGAGGCAGGTCTTCAAGGAGGTTTTGAGTGAGATCCAGAGCGGACAGATCCGGGAGGTCGCGGAAGAGACCGTATGGAAGAGATCTCAGCTTGTTATTCGACAGGTGAAGCTCCTGCAGTTTGCCGAGGCCCACAAGAGCGTCTGCATCGATCTGGGAGATGTTTGTGAACTCAACGGAGATGAGCAGAGTCTCTTTAGGGAAGCCTGTCGGGAACTCCTGAAGAGACGGGGAGGAGCAGGAGAACTCGGTGGCATTGCTCGGCAGGGGCAGCGGAGGGCACGGGGAGGCCCGGAGGCCATGAAGAAGAGTCGTCATGCAAGCTAGGGAAAGGGCTGCAGCCAGATACGCCATTGCAGGGTTTCGTACAGCTGCAGGAAGGAAGAGACAGAGATTTTATGTGGGAAGAGATTCAAAAGATGTGCTATACTAAAATACCAAGATGGGTTTCACCACTAGAAGCCTTTATAAATCCCACGACATTCACGAAGGAGCAACTAGGGAGATATGATGAACTGCTAGATAACCACAATAAGTCAGTACAGCAAGACACTCTTAAAAAGAAAAATATATATTTGAACTGGTGGGAAAGGGCACAGTTGGACTCTAGATATGCAAAAGATAAAATTGCTGGGTTTTAGGACTCATATAGGGAGCGGGATAAAATCTTGATGGGCATAGAAGGAAAAGATATAAAAAGATTTATACTTTGTTATTGCAGATGAAAATGCAAGATGAAGTGGTAAAAGAATCAATGATTACGTGGGTGCAAAACTTAGGTCATAATATACAACTTGAGTAATGGGCTAAGGTGTGGAAAACCAACATGAAATTTACAAAAGCTATCTCATTTAAAGAAAATATTTACAAAAATGTTTTATAGATGGCATATGACCCCCGAAAATTTAGCTAAATGGTATCCAAACATGTCAAATTTATGTTTGAAGTGTAAACAATAAAACTGGCTCTTTTCCCCATATGTGGTGGACATGTAAGCTTACAAAAAGTATTGGGTGTGGATACATGAGGTACTACAAAAATGCTAGAAATAACATTACCCATTTGTACCAGAGTTGTTTTTATTAAATATTGTACCACAGAATTACAAAAAAACCAGAAGTATATTTGATTTTACATGTAATAACAACAGCCAGGATATTGTATGCTAAATATTGGAAAAAAGAGGAAACACATTACCATTTGTACCAGAGTTGTTTTTATTAAATATTGTACCACAGAATTACAAAAAAACCAGAAGTATATTTGATTTTACATGTAATAACAACAGCCAGGATATTGTATGCTAAATATTGGAAAAAAGAGGAAACGCCAACAAAAGAAGAAATGATATATAAATTATTGGAAACAGCAGAAATGG